TTCTTTAACTGAATAAGTTACGAGGAGGAACATATAAGCATGAGTGATTGCCAAAATAAAATTCGTGGAATATATGTCAACATAATTAATATTTGATATGTTCCTTCTTCTGCCCGAATTGCTACATATTTTTTTTGTATAATGTTTAAGACTTTATTTATGTTTATGTGATGAAAAAATAAAAGACAGGAGTATATCAGATGCTTGAGATCTTATCAAATTTTGTAACTTTCAATTATAAATTTTATAAAGTTGCTGATGCCTCTTCTCTTGAATTTTTATTCTGCTATTAAATAATTATTTCTGGGCCATGTACTCTCAGTTTATATTTAACTCAATGCGTGGGCATATCTAAATTTCATATAACAATCATAATATTTCGTTATTGTTATTTTTATATTAAAACCTTTCTCAAAATCATCTCCAGTGGGAGCGAGCAGAAGAAAATGAAACCCGCCAGGAATTTTAATTGCACTCTCGATGTTAAAATAATACAGTAACGAAATTATTATTTTATTATTATGCTAATGCTGTTGCGAAATAGCAAAAGGTTCCTTGGTTTGTTTTATTAAATCTTCCGTTTTTCTGGGCCATGTGCCAGTTGCAATGTTTTCGAATGTTATCATGACATACGATTCGAGTCTTGTTAATTAATTTTCGAGGAGCAATCTTTTGAAAAAATTATAAATTCTGAAACCGTACTCGTCTCGACACAAATAAAAAGATTTGTGTTTTGACAAGATCGAAACGTCGGCAGAATTTTTAGATATTAATTATAAATGGATTCATAATTTTGTGCTGTTTGAAAAAGAAACTGTAATGGAAAAATGAAAATTTTTAAAATCAAGTTTACCTAGTGGTGTATCGTACCTTAAGGCAAATTGTTGGAACTCGAGGAATATTAAATGTTTTCAAATAGATTATTATATAAGCTGAAACATGGTCTAATATTTATAAAATGTATATAAAATGAATTATAGAATAAAAATTATTTATTTAAAGTATATAGGTGAGCTCTAGAGCTTTAGCCAGAATTAAAATTAAAATCTGAATTATTTTCGATATACAAAAAAAAATTCTGAAAAATAAAAAAATTGAAGTAAATTAATTTTTTGTCCAAATGCAATTGTTTTGCAGAAAATTTTTTGAATATTCAAATCGGATGCTTAGTTCTCTCATAAACTGCTTTTTTTGTACATTTAGCTCTGTATCTTCGAAATGGCTGGACCTGCCTTCACGAAAAACTAATCACTACTTCTACCAATAATTAGAAATGAATGTTTTTTAGATCATTCAAATTTGATACTCCGTTCTCGCAAAACTCGATCTCTACTTTCTGCATTCTTTACTGCCAAAAACTAATCAGCACATTACCCTATCAATAGGAATCGAATGATTTTTGAACGATTCATATCGGTTGATCCGTGCGCTCGAAAACGTGGACAAAAAATTGTATCAATTCGTACATACACACACACATCGATTTTTTCTGAAGTATGCCAAAACGTGAAGAAATGCAAAAATTTTCATTTTTGATTTTTGGCCCATTACTATAACTTATCTTACGGGAAGTTAAAAATAAAAGTTACTTCATGAATTTTTGGTTTGTCTATTATTAATTCCGCATCCAGGATTTCGTTAAATATGCAACACCATCAGAACACAAACCGAACGTCATGGGCTATTCATATGGTCGAAACAATTTGTTGATTTTGCTGCGTCCGACGTTAATACCGCGTCCAGATTTAAGCAAATATGTTATTAATGAAATTGTTTATATTCCACAATACACAAAGCGCTCTAAGCTTACACTGGCTTCATCAATAAATACGAAATAGGAAAAATCACAATGGATGGTTCCGTACTCTAAAACCATGACATGTCTAATTAATATTCAAATACTGAAATAATTACATGATGTCGATCATTACAAATTTGGATCGGAAATTGCGTATTAATAATTATTGCAAGAGTCGATGACGTATCGCTGCATTGCAATTATTGAAACGGAAACTTTTATTTATAATAATTCAGAGCAGATTACTGCTGCAATTAATTAACCGGCTTTGTGAAAATGCATATGCAAGCAGAAATTAATATTTACATGATATTCATCAATCAGATAAACAGCTACGAGGTGATTGAAATAATTGAATGAAATTAATTTATATGAAACATGATAATATAAAATCTAGCACGCATTTGCAATATTATTAATTGATTAAGCAAACGTTCAAGTCTTCAACATTGGCTGAAATATCAATTAAAATAATATGGGTTAAAAATTTCCCAACAACTTGTTATGGATTATGCAACGTATGATCGATTCAGCAACTCGTAATCGATTATGCATATTTTCCAGAATTTTGCTAGCCTGATGTAAGGTTTGTGATATTGTTATTGCTAGTCGATTTGTTGATGGATTTCGGAACTTCTTGTCGATTTCGCTACTTGTTATCGACCTGTATTCAATTTCACGATTTGCTATCGATTTCGCAACTCATCATCGATGTTGCGACAAATTATCGATATCGCGACTTATTATCGATGTTGCGACTTGTTATCGATGTCGTGACTTATTATCGATTTTGCGACTTATTATCGATGTTGCGACCTGTTATCGATTTCGCGACTTATTATCGATTTCGCGACTTATTATCGATGTTGCGACTTATTATCGATGTCGCGACCTGTTATCGATGTTGCGACTTGTTATCGATGTCGTGACTTATTATCGATTTCGCGACCTGTTATCGATTTCGCGACTTATTATCGATTTTGCGACTTATTATCGATGTTGCGACCTGTTATCGATGTCGTGACTTATTATCGATGTCGCGACCTGTTATCGATTTTGCGATCTATTGTCGATGTCGCGACTTATTATCGATGTCGCGACTTATCGATGTCGCGACTTATTATCGATGTCGCGACCTATCGATGTCGCGACTTATTATCGATGTCGCGACCTGTTATCGATTTTGCGACCTGTTATCGATTTCTCGACTTATTATCGGTGTTGCGACCAATCGATTTCCGTTGACGCGAGTCTCCGCGGCCGGAAGTCTCCGCGGTCGGGAGACTCCGCGGTCGGGAGACTCCGCGGTCGGGAGACTCCGCGGTCGGGAGTCTCCGCGGTCGGGAGTCTCCGCGGTCGGGAGTCTCCGCGGTCGGGAGTCTCCGCGGTCGGGAGTCTCCGCGGCCGGGAGTCTCCGCGGAGGCCCCAGGGCTCCTGTCCAGTCCAGCTCCAAAGGGAGCGACCGGTCTAGCGCCCCGGGGGCTTTCAGTGTCACCCGAGGTGACACCGGCGCCGGCCTCGGCCGGCGACTGCCAGTAATTTCTTCGCGCACCCCCTATTTATAGACAATGCAAAAGGGACGAAACTTAACGAAAAAAAACGAACAATATTAATTAATTAGCCAATCACAATTAGCGCTACACACATACGTCATTTTCGAACATTGTGATTGGTCGCAGAACGACATTTATCTAAAATTATTTTTTCAATTATAAATATTTCCAAAGGATAATGAAAGATCGAATTCAAAGTGGTTTTATTCAAAAAATTTATATCGGAGTGTATATAACTATTAGCATGGAATCGTAGTAAATTTTATTTAGTTTCTCACTATATAACTGAAAAGGGGTGCTTTTATATGATATTTGTGAGTTATTTGACAAAAACCAAAAAAATGTACAGAATTTTCTATTTATTTCTAAAAAATAATGAAATATAGAATTCAAAGTCGATTTATTCCAAACTTTTATATCGTAGTGTTTAAAGTTGTAGACATAGAATCGTAGTAAATTATATCTAGTTTCTCCTTATATAACTAAAAAGGGGTGCTTTTATACGATATTTGTGAGTTATTTGACAATAACCAAAAAAATGTCCCGAAATTTCTATTAAATCCTAAAGAATATGAAACATCAAATTCAAAACCATTTTATTCCAAACTTTTATATAGAAGTGTATATAACTGATGGCATGAAATCGTAGTAAATTTTATCTAGTTTTTCCCTCTCTAACCGAAAAGGGGTACTTTCATTTTCTATTAAATGCTAAGGAATATGAAAGATCGAATTCAAAATCGTTTTATTCCAAACTTTTATTCGAAGTGTATTTAACTGTTGGCATGGAATTGTAGTAATTTTTGTCTAGTTTCTCCCTCTCTAACTGAAAAGGGGTGCTTCCATATGATATTTGTGAGTTATTTGACAAAAACCAAAAAAATGTCCCAAATTGTCTATTTATTTCCAAAGAATAATGAAAAATCGAATTCAAAGTCGTTTTATTTAAAAAATTTATTTCGGAGTGTATATAACTATTGGCATGGAATCGTAGTAATTTTTATATAATTTCTCTCTATCGAACCGAAAAAGGGTGCTTTCATATGATATTTGTGAGTTATTTGACAAAAACCAAAAAATGCCCCGATTTGTTATCGATTTCGCAACTTGTTCTAAATCTGGTGCAATTGCTACTCGAATAAATTTATTACAGGGCTTGAAATTTTCGATAATTAATTTTGCTGTTTTTTGTATCATTAATTTTCTGCCTGCTTTTCAGCTAACGTATCGCTATTGCTTTGAAAAAAGTTCAAAATTTTCAAAGTATTTCGAAGTATAAAAAAACATTTTTTTCAAAAAGGTCAGTTATTTAAACAAAAAAAAAAAAAAAAAATTTAAAAATCTCGAAAATTGATTTTTTTTCAGTTTTAAAAGAAAATTGAATCTTGTTTAAAAAGTGTATTTTTTGGTACGGGAAGTTCTAGCAATTTGTCTCAAGTCACGATGTCATGCACCACTAGTTAAATGATATTCTGAATATTTTAATTAAAACAAAATTGAACAAAAATAATTTACAGACATAGACTTTCACAAAGCAATATCTCGCATGATTGTGCATTACTCCTATAAATTTAACAATTATTTTAATTCATATGTTACTATGTTATGATATTATTATTATATCTATATTATTTCTTTTATTTTTTCAGAATATTCTACGGGAACAAATGGATATCGCGATGAAGTAAAATTCTACCATCTGCCGCCTCCACCGCCTCCTGCAGGTGCCAGACCGCCTCCTGCATATGATTCTAATAGTACATTTACTCCTAGCAAGACGGGAACGATGAAAAGTGAAAAAAATGGAATATCAACTAATGGTCAAACTGAAAATTACTATGCTGCTACTGATATAGTAAAGGTATGGTAATTGATTTATCTATAATATTCTATTTATTGAAAAAAGTTTTAAAACTGTTTTTGCAAAACTAAAATTAGTGTTATTTGATACCCAAAATTGAACTATGGGAATTAAATTTAATTTGTTATTACAAAAAGTTTAAACAATAGCATTTTTAGTTCACTTGTCTAAGAATGAGTATACACGCATATAATATAACTTTTGATAAAAATTGCAATAGTGATTAAAAATACTAACAATCTGATATAGTGTTTTTCTATTGTAATATTCACTAATGCTATATCAGATATTTATTTAAGATACAAGAGATAATATTTACCTAATTATAATAATATTCTTCTTTTGTTATTTTTTCGAATATAAAGTTTTTATTACATATAAGATTAACCCCTACAAAGTTTTATTTTCAATCAGACATTAATGTTTGCTCAACGTGTCTCTGGCCTGATGGAAAGTATTAAAACTTTGTTTTATTAACGGATAAACGGTTTGTAAATACATTTCATTTGTTATCATCAGATACGTAAAAGTAAATCACCAGACAATGTTCCAGAAAAAACTGTATATAAATATATATTTGATGTGTATTTTAAGTATCGGCATTTTTGTGTAATGTAATATTGTTGTTTGAAAATGTCTGTTTTAATTAATTGAACTTGTATCAGATCAATGGTATAATTATGTTTGACTTTAATTGCTCTCAAAATTATCTTGAACACGTCGTGTTTTATATTAAAAAACGTAATCCATAGCTTCACAGAAACATTCGTAATAAGAAACAAAGAAGTTGTTTTTTGAGTATAAAAGAAAAGTACAATATAGATATCTTAATCATCAAAACATTTCCCTCTGATCTCCGGAAATTCCGTTTGCTAATTTCGTCAAATTAAGGAAAAAGTATATACCTTGAGAAATTAAACATTTTTTCATTCCCTTTGACTTCAAAAGACAGGAGGAAAGCGAAGGACCAAGGGCCGCGCCAATTCGATTGTTTTCGTATTGTCTTTTTTCAATTATTTATTTTACCGTCGAAAATATATTTGGCGTAGTAATTTCGTTTTATTATGCCGGAGTTCGAGAAAAGAAGAATAAAAGTGTACTTAAACGATTTCAGCACTTGAAATATATTTTCCTTATATTGTACTATAAACTCACCTTTTATCGTTGTTCTACGGAAATCCATTTGTTGTGAGTGCTGCACAAATTGTCTCCTTCCTCTTTGATTAATTGTTTTTGGAAATTCAACTTTTTTACGTTTATGGACTATTTAGATATAATTCGATAAATTCTTATTAGAGAACCAGAAAGTTTATTTCCTTGTCCTTTGTTTTTTTATAGACCGAAAGGCGGGAGCAGCATTTCACACCCGGCAGATTTACGACTATCAAATTACCAGATGGTCCACCCCTGGAGGGTGTAGCCAGGCTATTAGACTTTCCAAGGAGAAGGTTGAGGGCGCTGAAGAAATTGGGAGAAGGAGCCTTCGGCACGGTAAGATACCTCTATTCAATTAATAATTATCAGTAAATGTTTTTTTGTAAACTTTATACGTATTGAAACAACTACTTTCACCAATATTTCACCATGTGTTAATATATAAATTGATTTATATACAATCATAATTCTGTCTTCTCAGTGAATATGAGGTTAAATCAATTTTCACTATTTTGCAAAACTTGGCTTCAAAGTTTGAAATCATTTGTTTGAATGTTAGTTAAAGTACTTCAATAATATATGTTTTTCACCAGTAATTTTTTAATGCAGTAACTATTTTCAGAGTAATAGAAACAAAGCGAATTTAGACATTTTTACTGGGATGCCTGATCTTTGGTATCTCCATTACTCTATATCATAATTTTGCAAATTCTCAAATTACTTTATTTCATGTTTCTGGGATCAAAGTACGAATATTTATCTATTTTATAATAATTTTTGAAAATCACTTTATTTTTCTCAACTGTTATATTCTCTACCATAATTGTATGAACTTTTATTTACATTCACAGAAGACGTCGATTATTATTTCAAGGTATTACCATATTTCCAACGGATTTATATATTCCTAAGAACACATTCGAGGGATAATGTTTTTATTATGTCTTCGAACTTTTGTATAAACCATTCCAAATTTTCCGAACATTATTTCTCCCAGAAAACAATGTCGGAGTTACAAAAGACATCAGAAACTCTCATACTCTTTTTTACAAGTTCAATGACCCGCGGTATCTTTTTCATACATCACTTTCACCTTTGTCTGAAGATATCGCATAGCACATTTTTTGTCATATTTTCACCGCCTTCCGTGAAAATAAAAAGCAATAAGTACCAGAGTAAATAAACCTACAAACTGGATAGAGAATATACCCCGTGCGCTATATTATAACAAAGCTGTCTTTTCAAATATACGTCTGGCTTAGTTTGGAGTCTTTTGATGGCATTAAAAGATTAAATCAAACAATGGGTTCACTGTTTGTCATTGTTTCGCAGAGATTCGTATAGGTACTACTTTTGATACATGTGGAGGTTGGATATCATTCGGACTTTTCCTGACAAAAATATCATTTGAACATGACAGAAAATAGTATTCAAACAACACTCCTGTAATAAACACTCACAGTCAGAAGATATAATATTTTTTGCCATAAGTAATATAAGCATCAATCAATTATATAACGTATACTTCAAAATTATATTAAGGTTTGGAAAACTAAGCAGCAGTGATTGCAATCAAAATAAAAATGCATGAAAATACTTTTGTTATAGGTATTTAAAAACAGATCCAAGGTCGATTTTTTTATCATAATTATTTTGCAAAATAATAGTTACGTTTTTTAACCGACAAATTTTCTAATAGTATTCTAACAAAGTTTACAAAGATTTCAATGTTTATAACCTTGATCTGTAAATAAATAAATTGAATAATTGAAAGATGTTGAAGTGGTAAATGTGGCAAATGAATGTTTAATAAAATCTAAAAAATCATTTTTCATTTTTTTCAGGTCCATCTTTGTGAAACAGAAGGCGTGTCGGATTTTGGCAACTCGGCCTCCACGCTGCACAGGAAACAGCTGGTTATAGTGAAAGCTCTTTGGAGGAATACTTCAGAGCAAACTAAGTAAGTAATCATAAAACATAATGTAAATTCAAAAACTATAAAATTTCTTTGCAAAGGTTTTACTTATTTACAACCAGTGCGTATAAACCACAATTTGATATAATAAAATCAAAGGATAGAAATTATATGTATTGATATAGTCATCATCATTATGCAGTTTTTTGATAGAAAATTTTGATTGAATTCAATCATCTATAAATAAAAATATTTAATTTTAAAATCAAATTATAAACTTATTATCTTGCGTCATACTACCGACATTCTTATAGTATTTACCTATTTTCCTCATTCTATTATCTGATACAACGAAAAAACTTCCAAAATTTAATAAAACCGAGCATAAACATATATAAAATATACCAGTACTCTAGTACTGTTTGTGTTTCAAATCCCACCTCTGACCTATATCATTTTTGTATCGTTTCAGGCAAGAGTTTATACGCGAGTGCACATGGTTGGCCGGAGTGCGGGACCCGCATTTGGCCCGAGTCGTCGGTCTCTGCGGTGACGAGCCGCCCTGTATCTTGCTGGAGCATTCCGAACTCGGCGATCTGCCCGAGTATCTCCGATCTCAAACCGCCAAAGCGGAAAGTTCAACTTTGAGGTAAATTATTAAAATCATATTCTTGGTGTAGATACAATATACGTGATTTATACTATTAGACTAGACCAAACCCACTAAAGATATTACAATTTCGTCACAATTAATTAGTAAAAATATGAATACGCTATACTCTTTCATAAGAAAATGCTATATGCGACATTTATTATGAAAAAATATCTGAATGGGGTTGCATGAGCATATTAAGTCTCTCCTAGAACTCAGCTTGTTTTGTTACAATTTAACCCTTGTAGCTGTGGACTGAATGAAACACTGATTTGTTGGTATGATTTATGTATTTTCTGCGAGTTCTTACCACACTAATGATTTGTCACTAAGTACTAATTGAATTAGATATATTTATTGATAGTTTATTACATATGTTGTTACGCACACAATACTTTTAGAAGAAAGAAAATCATGTCCGATACAAATCAGCCACCCCATTTACAGGGTAGCAACCGCCATGTGTAAAAGCTCAAGGCCATGGAGATTGTTGCCTTCATGACCATTATAACAAAATGAAAATTTGTCCGAACAGGGGTATATAAGTAAAACGGGAAGGTGACACAAATTATATGGATTAACACATATAAATATCCTGTATCATATATAGTCATCGTAAGTGTCAGCTATCTGATACTGATTTCATTTAAATCAAATTGGCGTATTTGGGGGTTCAAGGTTTTCTAATATATGGCACTTTTCTTTCACATGAATTCTCGTTAAATTTAAAACATACATTTTTTATTATTCTGCGGCATGTCAAGCGAACCTATTGAGATTTCAAAACTTTATAGCATAATTTTGTATGGTAGCTACCATCTAGTTTTCTCTCAAAAACTAGTGTATATTCACATTTTAATATTAATTGCTTTTCCAACAAGCCATTTATGAAATATGTCCTATGTGTGCACATCGGGAAATAATTGTACAATGAGAGAATCGGCGAATCAGTAATTATGTAATAATCAATCGATATTTTGACGAATCGGGTTTTATTGATAATAACCTTTATGTCCCCAATATCTAAGGATCGTTTTAAAGATATTAGAGCGGATAGAGCGGATAAATTTAAGCTTTTTCATGGGCTCAGGAAAATCTTGATCGAATTTTAGTGATAAATGTTTAAAAAGTTAATAATTGATCAGTTACAGCAAGCTAGATGAACAAAAAAACATTTTATAAAATAGAGGTTTGAGGAGGACCCAGAAAACACCGGGCGGCGGTAGCAATCTGAATTTCACATTGATTATTATACATGGGTGTCACAGCGCCGAAGGAATGCTTGTGGATTTCAGGTTGCTGCCGACGCTCGCATCACACAGTGTTTACTGGGGAGCTTGAAAATTCAGGACTTTAAGCTAGAATTAGAAAATTGTTATCGATTTCGCAACTTGTTATCAATCTCGCGACTTATTACGTTATCGACTTGTATTTGATGTCGCGACTTATTTTCGATTTCGCGATTTGTTATCGATTTTGCGACTTATTATTGATTTTGCGAATTGTTATCGATTTTGCGATTTATTATCGATTTTGAGATTTGTTTTCGATTTCGCGACTTATTATCGATTTCGCGATTTGTTATCGATTTTGCGACTTATTATCGATTTCGCGACTTGTTATCGATTTCGAAACTTGTTTTCGATTTTGAGACGTCTTGTCAATTTTGCGACCTCTTATCGATTTTGCGACCTCTTATCGATTTCGCGACCTCTTATCGATTTCGCGATTTGTTATCGATTTTGCGATTTGTTATCGATTTTGCGACTTATTATCGATTTCGCGACTTGTTATCGATTTCCCATTTGCGATTTATTTCGCAGCTTGCGATTGATTTCGCAACTTGTTATCAACATAGACTTTCACAATACAATTTCTCGTATGATTGTGCATTACTCCTATAAATTTAAAAATTATTTTAATTCATATGTTACTATGTTATGATAGCTAGATGAACAAAAAAACATATTATAAAACAGGGATTTGAGTAGGAGGTTGGAAATTCAGGGCTTTAAGTAATTTTCTAGAATTAGAAAACAAGTCTTAAGAGTAGCAAGCCCTTACCACTTAGGCATATGAAAAATAGATGTCAAATTACAAATATTCATAAAAATCGGTCAAACCGTTTTGGATAAGTATTGTCAGTAATTTCATGACTCGTATATAAATAATAAAATAAATATATACATAAATATATATATATATATATATATATATATATATTATATATATATAATAATTGTGTTTATCCATGTGTGTGTTATGTTTTAAAATAAATAACAGAATCGGAATTACACTCCTCTTTATTTGATTAGTTATCTCTTGATATTTATACATTTTCAAATAAACGAATTCATACAATAAAAAAACAAACTTACAAATATAAAAATAGTAATTACATCCGATACGTAGTGTGCACACACAGTTGCGAATCGCCAATATTTTTTTATGATTTCTTTCCCATAAAATGAATCGTTATAAATCAACAACTCTCGGTTCGCAATTCCAATCCGCGGCCGTTCGTCGTGTTTGTAGTGTACTGTGTAAAAAAATCATATAATTCCCGGGAAAAACCATTATGAGTATATATGTGGAAATAAAATATTCTTTATTTAGATTTATCTGCCAATGGCGAGTGTATCGGGCTATGCGAAATATTTTATGCGTTACTTTCGTTCCTCGAACGCTGATACTGGACCAAAAACTAATATTGAATGATGTAGTAAAAATATATCTGTAAAATGGATTTTCAGATAAATTTGTACTTTATAAAATTTTATAATGTTCTACATAATAATATTTTCAATGCTTAGCTGTAAATAAAAATTAATTAAAAAATAATAATTATGAAACTACAGATAGTTCAATTCTTTAAGAGGCACTATTAAAACTTATTTTTACAAACACATTTTTTATAGTTCATTGCCATGATATTAATTGTTCATACTTTGGTATATTATCTATTTCTAATGAAAATACGCTGATGAGGGTTGAATCATATTGATTTTTTTAAATTATACTTTAAGTAAATCCATTCATTATATGCCACTATACAGTGAATCATCCGTTTCTGGCTGAAGTATTTTTTATTCTATATGAAATTATATTGGGTTGATAAAATCAAATTTTGTAATTATTATTAAGGGTTTAGATAGGATGGTAATACTTACATTTTATATCGAGTTCTATAGACGAAAATAATTTTATAATGAATAGCTAATTTCTAACATTTTATAGTGATTGCTGATTTAAAAACAACCCAAGTAAAAATAAATCCTAAAATTATATCTTATATTTCAATAGTAAATTAGGCAGGTAACTAAGCAATTGCATATGTCACTCATAAATATTTTCGATTGAATTTTGAGGTTTGCTGACCTAGTACAAATGTAAAATAAGTAGTACATATTCTGTTCTGAATATATACCGGAAAAAATATTTTTTATTCATTCATCAAAATTTAGTATGCTGTTTTAGTAATATTAAATTATTATTTCAAGTATAAATTTAATTGATTTGTATTTTTATATCCATATGATAAAAGACATAAATAATATCGGCAACTCACTCCATCACAAAAATCCATATGCTGCACAATACGAACAAAATTGTATTTGAATACAATCTGATATAAAACCATAAATACTTGCAATATTTACAGCATTTTATTATAACAACATATACATTCAAAGTAATAATAATCCGTTAACAAACAAAGGGATTAAAAATAATATTTATCGCATTTTAAAAAATTGAAAAAATTAATGCTCCATCCATTTCGTTTGTTCGAATCATTCAACTTTGTTCTGGGAGAGATTACTAGATAGGATATATATGTTTTATTTAAACCATATACCGAGGATTAGTTCAGATGTACAAATTCTGTATGAGGGAGGTCCGTGTGCGGTTTTAAAAATGCTGTATGGTGGTTTATTCGAGATTACGTTAAAATCTCTTTCTGGGAAATAAAAAACGCTCTTTACCTCAGATTATGGAACTATTTCAACGTAAATGTTTTTTTAATTAACTTTGAGGTTTATGAAATAATAATTTAGCTGGAAATGGAGATCGCGTTTGGCTCATGAAGAAACGCAAAGTCGCTTAGATAGAGCATAAAATACCCCTGAGTATATATTATGAATATATAAGTCCATGAGTACATACAATCTGTTTAAATAGTATTGAGCTCGGAGCCACCCATCCATCGATTTCGCATATTCCGAAAACTATTGAAAGTACCAACTTTAAATTTTTGTCGAATATTTAGTAAAGTGTAGTAACAGTGTATGTCAATTCATCAAAATCGAATTATGCATTTTTGAAAACGTACAATCTGTTTCAATACTAGTATTGAGAGCGGAGCCAACCACCCATCAACCTTGCATATCTCAAAAACTATTGACTGTTTCAACTTTAAATTTTGTTCAAATATTAAGTAAAGTGTAGTAACAATATATGTCAAGTTTCATCAAAATCGAATTATGCATTTTTGAAAAAATACAATCTGGCAGGATATTCAATTCCTTTCATTGCGGATGGATATTTTAAACAACTATCAGACAGATTAAAATAAAAAATATGTTGGAGTTTATAAACCGATTAAAAATTTTACGATGTTGCAAATATTGATAATTGGTATTTGTTTTCAATTTTATGCTCGTTTAAACAATGACGATAATCAATAATATTCGCAGTAGCACTGCCTAATTTACTAGTGCAATTAATACTGCGAATAAAATTTAAGTTTTGAAATATTGTAGGATTTGGGAAATTTTATAGTACGTAGTAATAAAGTACCTTTTATATTATTTTAACAGTTTTAAAAGTTATTATTATTTATATAATTTAAATTATAAGAATAATCATTTTAAATTCAGTTTTGAACTTTTACGCTAAAAAATTCCAAACTGTAAAATGTGTTCTGAAAAATATTGATTCAGATGTAATACAATTTTTTTTAATCATATATGTCGGAAAAAATATAGTCAAATTTTTTTCAGTTATGGGTGCCTGATCTATATGGCGACACAAATAGCTTCAGGAATGAAATATCTCGAAAGTCTAGAATTAGTTCATCGAGATTTAGCTGCAAGGTTAGTAGATATAAAATTAATTTATAAATATTTTCACCAAGTATAATAAGTCATAACGTTTACCTATTCCTACTCATAAGCTATTTAATTAAACATTGCAGAAACTTTTCCAAGCATCTCGTATTTTCATGAACTGTACCAAAAGTTAGTTCGTTATAAAATATCTTTGCATGTGAATTATTTTTTCTTGTCGTGTTGTTATTATGATTGCTAATGATGCAACTACAAAAAACTTATAACGATGTCTTCGTAAGGTTTCGCAAAAGTTTCTGTAGGAAAAATAACTTAAACTAAAGCAATGTCGCAAACTCGCTTTGGGACTTTCTGATTTTGCATCTGGGCAAATAGAGAATATATATAAAGAAGTTACAGCAATTTTATTAAAACATTGATTTAATGTAATACAGTAAATGGGGGTTGTTATTAATATTATTTTTCTGGTTTATAAATATTTTCAGGAATTGCGTGGTTGGCAAAGATTTGGCTGTAAAAGTGTCAGATCATGCTATGTATTGTGATAAATACGAAGGTGATTATTATCGTAGTGATACTAAAGCAAAGTTACCCATTCGGTGGATGGCTTGGGAAGCACTGCTATTGGTAGGTATTTTGACAAACAGCAAAAAAATTCAATTAATAATCCTGTAAATATTTTTTTTCCAGGGGAAACAAACTCCAAAAAGCGACGTGTGGTCATTCGCAGTGACTTTGTGGGAATTGCTGACGTTGTGTGCTCAAAGGCCTTTATCAGAACTTACTAATGAGCAGGTTAGTTGATTAATTGACCTTTTACCTAAAAAGTTTACTTGTGGAACGGTATAGAAGGGATATAAAACCTTCATAAGTAGACTTTCAAAGGGACTTTAAGGATTAGTATCGTGATAATTTGAAAAACGTAGAGGTGTAGGGGTTTCATGCAGTATTATCACATTTTAAAGGCAAATGAGCAGTCATTTATTTTTTAATAGAAATATTAACTTTGCAATAAATCTTAATGTTTGATTCATAAGATATAAATGCTGTAATAATTTTTAACCTATAGAAATCTTTATATAATTGATCTACACTAACATTCATACCAACATTCATACAAGCGTCATCTATTAGTAGGTAGCACAATAAATAATCATTACACTAAAATTTGTAAATAATGTTTAAGGGGGTATTCTAGTGTAGAGCGATGAATTTTAGGTCATTTTCAAAGTGTCGTAAAAGAAAGCAATGAATGTTTTTACTATCCATTTTTTACCACTTGTTTATTAATATTATTAAAATACAAAACAAAAATAAAAAAATAAAAAAGTTGAAATTTGTAAAACCTGGCAGCTGATGAAGTGGGTGGTCTCAAAAAATTAGCACCTCAGTCGTGACATGATTTTAGCCCTCCTAGCCATCGGAAATGCAAAAAATAAAAAAATTATTAATCTACAATCTACAATTAATTGGCGACTGTTTGAAGAAAAAAGTGTTTTTTAATGTTTTTTGAGTTTCTCGAACTTTTTAAAAATAGTAAAAACAAGACTCTCTGAACATTTCTAGTGAAACGGTCGATTAAAATTCGAGAAATCGTGTCAACAGTACTGAAAAAGTCTGTTCTGAGAAAAACGCATTTAAAGTTTTGCGTGAAGCCAAACCAGTATGGAGACCGGGTCAGTAAAATGCCTATATCTCTGAAAATAATTCAAATTTTCAAAAGCCTTCTCGTACCCATATTCTTAGATAGTTAAACTTTGAAAATATAAAATAAAAAAAATCGTTTTTTTTATATCTACACTAGAATACCCCCTTAAATACAATAATTCCAATTCGAATTCTCTAATTTTTTTTCAGGTTGTAGAAAACAGCAGTCGTTGGTACCGCGCCTCGGGGACGCAAAGATTACCTCCTCGACCTGCGACATGTCCACGGGAGTTGTACGACTTGATGGCCGAATGTTGGAAGAGATCTGCCGCAGACAGGCCCCGTTTTTCAGAGATACACCTGTTCTTGCAAAGGAAAAATTTGGGCTACGCGCCGACACACGCCTGAGGCGGGATGCGTCTTTGGAGGACGAATACAGGTAGATAGAAAATAATACAATAGTCATACTTTATACGTATATATTATTATTTTTATTTACATAAAATATTTACAATTAACCGTATAGACATTTAGTAAATATATTGGCTCGTGTTAAATGATGTATTGGCTGTAGTTGAATACGTATGTAATAATAATCCAGTAAACACCGAGCGGCGGTAGCAACCTAAAATCCACATTGATTATATATGGGTGTCACAGCACTGAAGGAACGCTTGTGGATTTCAGATTGCCGGCGACGCTCGCATCACACAGTGTTTACTGGGAATAATAATAATAAGTGGTAGTTTGTCTGAGGCAGGTCCATGGTGTGAGAGCACCCACAAAAAAATAATTTCTTTGCCCTTTGTCATCTATCATTCATATTACCACTATTTTGCCTCCCCTTTACACATTTTTTATGTATTTTACTTTCCAAACTTCTGTTTTCTTGTTTCTGATCCTTAAGTGTTTATAAATGAATCAATAATCAGAATTTTTATTTATTTTTGATTCATTTATCAAATTTCAGTTCGAACCTGATAGCAACCTCCTCCTCTAGAAAGAAATGGACGTTCGTACAACCGTACGTATAAAAAATAGATATAATATTTGTAAATTTCTAAAATAATATATAATTTACTACGACTGAGCATATGACGAAGAGCTGAGAGTTTTAAAGTATAAGTAACCATTAAATCTAGATATTTAATATAATCCATAAACATCTCCGTGCCAATACATCGAGATTTGTATTGAAATTTCGGATTTAATTTTATTTATTTATTACATTATTTATTCGATGAAGTTTTAGGCAGGCCCGGTAACTATTGTCATATTTATAAGTATCACAAAAGCTTACTAAACGTAGGTGATTAGAATTATGTAAATACACAATAATGTTTCACGTTAGTGATCGATTTAAAATTGTAGTAGTCTGAAATGATTTAATATATGTTTAAAAAAATCACTACATTCTCTCGTTATAGGAAAACTACTTATGTATATTTTTATTTACCAAAAATCAAATCTCTAGTCATAAATTAAGTATTGAAAAGTATTTCATTGTATAAGAATCTTGGACTAACAGGGAGATATAAAAAACGAACGAAATGTAAAAAAATATGATCATTAATCTTGATATGTATTTATTATACTATTTTTGTATATCAGCGCATTTTCAAATTCAAGTAATTTTTGCATATAAATATATTCATTTCGTTTTTTTATAAATGTCTTCATTAATGAGCGATTTTGATCAAAACGCCTCGAGGTGGAAAATCATATAGGAACGACATTTTTTGTCGTATTCTGATTTTGAAAATTCATTGACGTTTTGATCTATTACCATCGCTAATTATAAATATTTATTAGTATATGTCGTTTTTATACAATCGCATATGCTAAACTCTGATGTTCTTCCATTAAAGCCTTCTCAAACTACTATATACCTTATAAAAGAATCTTTTTCCATACTAAAATATTTGCTTATATATTAACGCGCCGACATATTAGGCGTTTTTATATAATTTGTAAATATACAATGTAAAGACAAAATATTGGTATGTACCTTTAAGAAATAATTGTATATTTCAAACTTCAAAACATAAATGCGAGGCTATTAATCGTAGATGTTTTTAATTTACGGTTCTGGTTTGGTTAGACAACCGTCTTGGAAATATTTAAATATTGTGATAACGTTGTATAAAGAAATATTGCATTTTGATGAATAATCATATCTCTTAGATGAATGTAAGGAAAAACATGAATTTATTCGTAGTATGTAGGGAACGTAACGTATAAATACATATATAGGATGTAATATTTTTAGTTGATAGTAACTTAAAAATAAGGATACAAATAAGCACTGTTTCATATTTGTTCTGATTTGGTTTGGAAATGGAACTCGGGTATATTGTGGTAATTGTTGGAGTTTTAAAAAAAAAAATTTTCAACTTGATGACATATAATTCAACCAACTTCAATATATAATCACATCAATTTTCGTATAAATTGCTTTTAAAACTACCATTGCATACTTCAATAATTGATAGAAAATTAGCATTTTTTGTTGATGTCTATAAAAATTTTATTGCGGCACCAAAATTATTTCTCTATTTTTTCCACCAATTGCTACAACATATTTTCTTCCTTTCAACAAGAATGTTTTATCATTTTATATAACCTTATTTAATAAATATAGAAATATATAGCTGGATTGCATATTAATATCGTGACCACGGATTCAAATACTATGAAATATATTAAATTAAAGTATTTATATTTAAGTATAAATGCAAATTATATATTGTATATTACAAAATTATAATGTATATAGCCAAATTGTATATAGGAAAATACATATTTCGTAAACCCATAAAAATATTAAAATTCAACAGTTTTTTTTTAATATTTCGCATTCAATTTTACAAATTTTGTGTTTGTAAAAATTTAAATAAATTTGTGTAGCGCAAGCAATGACTTAGAAACCAAATGAAAAATGCGTAGCAAAATATATTATATTTATTTAAATACCCTTGTATAAAATTTTAAAATGTTATGACAAAATGGATAAATCTTTTTCATCTACTTCTATTTGTTCATAGCTTTAAGCTCGAAACTGCATTCTTCATAAACTGCATTTAAATGAATTATTTTTTTGATTTTTTAATATTTTAACGGTTTGTTTAAAATTGTTGGACCAGAGATTAGGCATTTTAAGATTTTTTGAAAATACTTTAAAAATGATTTTTTCATGGCGATTGGTGGCAGCGGGGGGACATTGATGGATTTTTATTTGAGATTTTAAAGTATAAGTATTTTTAGAAAATCATAAAATGTTTTTACATCTTTAACCACTCAAGGCACATGACAATCAGTGCTTCGTCTCGCAAAGAAACGTCAAATTTTTTGGCGTAATCTAATGGATGCGTAGACTAAAGTATTAGCATTAGCCACTTAATTAACTGTCTGATTCGAATATAAACTTATACATACACATTATAGCACTTTTGAATTTTTAATTAAAATATTATTCAGGGAATAAAGCATTCCGTAATATGCCTCTGTACTTCTTTTTTGCTTCCTTTTGGAAGCTGTCAAATTTAGTATTTTTATCCTATAAGACTAAAATTTTTAAAAGGCAATACTAAAAATTGGTGATTTATTTATAATGCCAATAAAATGTCAAAAATAGTCTTTAAATGTTTTCTTGAAATGATATTTTTTAGCCCCAATTCCCTGGATTTAAGTATAAATACTGAAAATGATTTTATTTATTTTGTTCATATATGCCAATTTTAGCCTAAGTGGTATTCTGTGCCAAAACTCATTGATTAGTCAAAAAAAATTAAATTTTATGCCGACGGCAAAAATTGTTTTACTAAACGCGTATCACTTTTACCTTCTGGCATTAGTTCGTAAATCAACTTATATTTATACATAGATTTAAGAGACTATAATGCAGTTATAATTTGTATTATTAGTATATAATAAGTAATAATATAGATGCAACAGTATATAATTTTGTATTATATTAGATATTAAAAAATACTTTCTAATGTTGATTCGTATTTCTATCTCGTTCTAAATTAGATGTATAAAAAGGTGAAAATGGTACATGAAAAAATACAAAAACATGAAAGGTATTCACAAAATATTTTTTAAATTTAATTTGCGCTAGATATAACTATAAGACTAATTACAAGTCTTCAATGTATACCACACATAAATATATTAAACAAATTGCATAGAAATATTACCATATAGAAATAAAATCAACATATTTTTTGTGTCAAAATAATACTTATAATAAAATGAAGATACACTATATAATACATGTTCGAGACTGCAAAAATTTTGGCTGATTAGAATCGTGCCAAATTTTACGCAGAGCTCTCACAAAAATATCACTTTTTGAATTATTTATAAAACAGCATTTGTGTGTAAAAATGCATTTTATAAACCAAAATCGTACAATGTGAAATACTATATTAAATAATATATATATTTAGTAACATATCATAAATTGTTCAATTCTGGATCGTATTCACACAGTAATGTATAAGAAATATTGCAAAGTATATGATTAAGCTTTTTGTATTCGATTTAATTATATTCAAAGACAACACGTCAAATCATGTATGTGTCGAAAATATGAATGTGTTTTAAGCATTGTAAATAATTCTAGGTTAATTTGTATGTTTGATTTATCTATTAATAAAAATAGACAACATTTTAAATGGTCTTATGAAATTAAAATTCAAAAGATTTTAAAGGAATTTTGCAGTTTTGCTGAGTATTTGCTGGCACCAGCAACAAGTAAGTACCACGTGATTTTTTTTACAGCTCAGGGTTGCATTGCGTAAAATATTTTTATTTTAATAGAAGTTTCAAATTTATTCTACTTCTTGGTTAAAATATACATTAGTTATATTTTTGTTTGATCCCTTCAGTTATAATATAGGCTATTAAATTCTATATTGTAAATATACTGCATTTATATTTACATATATAGACATATTTATGTGAAATATTTTAACAAAATGTTTTCATTCAAATCATTATTTGAAACTATTTCTACATTTAAAAAAATTGTTTTTCTTTATGAGCTTTTCAGAAGAATTAACTCGATAAAAATTAAAATTTAACTTTGTTTTACAATTGTGACTATAAGTTAATTTATTGTATATATTGTTTGTATTGTTTTTTATTGTTACTGTATTTTCATGAATTATTATATGAATCATAGTTATCTTATGGTTAACAATTTAATTCTACTATTTGTCTTATTATTCAAAATTTATTTATTAAATATTTATTTAATAAGCTTATTAGAGTATTAACGACTGAAAAGTTTATTAAATAAAAATTAAAAGAAAAACATAAGAAAAAATAGCTGTTGTAAAAGTCATATTCCAACACAAATTTTTATTATTATGAAAATATATGCATTCATATTTTTAAGTAAAATTTTTGCGCAAGTTACAAATTAGATATTATTTTTTTTAATTTAATTACGAATCAAACTAAAATATGTTTATAGTTAATACTATATATAATTTCAAATATACCACTTTTATGAAGTATCAGCTAAATACTACAAATTTGGTTCATTACTTTGTATTATACTTAAAAATATGACATAATTTTATTTCAGAGGCATTACCAATCTTCACCTGGTAATTGTTACCAAACTTATACCTTTACCTAGTAGATGTCGCTCGATCAAAAATCTATATCGATTTTAGTTATAACAATCAGTCTGCGCTGATCTCCGGCATCGTGCACATCTTTAATATTATAATAGTTTGCGAATAATTTGTTACGACATTAATTATATAATAACACGTATAAGGGACTTACTTATTAGCAACAATTTTTAAGTTTTATAGACATTAATATATGTGTTATCCTGTGTTATGAACAGTTGATTCGTAATTTGTTATATTATCAAAGTCCATCCATTGACAATTCGTGCAAAGTGCCAATTACCCACGTGGTTTTTTCAGTGCCGACTTGTAAGTTTCTTCCACTCATTTTGAGTAGTGTTCGGTTTAATATAAGTGGAATATTAAATATAATATAACATAATGAAGTATTTTTCAGGATTTTTTAAATATTGCAGTGTAATGATTTGTATGAACTAAACGTGCAAATTGATCCTGTAACTAGGTGCTGCTTGGCGACGTAGAAGGTGAGCCCATATTTTTCTGTATTACTTATTAGATAGATTAGATAGATTTTAATTTATATTTATTAATTTCCCGTAGGACAATAGTTATAGTAATCGCAAAAAAATCGAAATTAAGATTTTTATATATCTTTACGTTTCAAAACCTTCTGAACATTTTGGCATACCTTAGAAAAAATGGATGTATGTGTGTGTGTGTGTGTGTGTGTATTTCGTCGACGATTTCGGGAACACGGACGAAGCGATTTGAATAATTCAGAAAACATTCGATTCGTATTGATAAGGAGACAAGCTGATTAGTTTTTGGCAAAGGCAGGTCTAGCCGTTCCGAAGATATGAGGCAAAAAGTGCCAAAGACAGTAACTCAATTTTTAAGAGAACGGAGTGTCCGATT